ATAAAATTAACTATAGCACACACTGTACCACTGTAATAATTTCGTAGCCACCTGCTGTTGCTATTTCAAGAGTCAAAAGTTATACACAGACAATTTTCAACTGGTAGGATGGGGGGGGGACGTCCCTAGCCCCTGCATTGTTCAGGGTCAACTGCGGTTTATTTTCCAATAATATTTTCTGCCATGTCATACTGCCGGCGGGGGCGGATAAAGGAACCACAGATAGTCACCAATATCAGATGCTCATAGTACATGTACACTTCCATTGTTCTCCTCCATGTCCTAAGAAGTATGATTTTTTTTTCCTACACACATCCCTTTGCTTACAATGTGCTCATATAAATCTCTCCTGCTCTTTTCTTCTCTTCCTTCCAACTTGTCCCACAGAAAGCATTAAGGAGTCAAAAGCAGTGGTTTCTAGTGTATATTTGGTCTCTAGGTGACAATGTAGGCCCAGGGAACTCATTTCACACCTCTTGGTCCGGCTCCCATCTGAGAGAAGCTTGGACCAGGGCAAGATTAGCAAATTTCAATTTGAACAACAGCTTTGCCTGGGAACCCTCTCTTGAGTTCTATGGGACACAGTTGAGGCTCAGTAGTGTGTCAGGATTGACTGATAATGTCTGCTATGGGCAGCGAAAAGGAACTTGTGAAGCAGATATTTGCCATTTGGGGCCTAGAAGCACTTTAAAAGTCCATTCTAACAATAATCTCTCTTCCTTCCTCTCTCTTTTTCTCTCTCTCCATTTTTAAATTGAACTTTTTATTATTGAATGGTAAGAACTCTTTATATATTCTGGACACAAGTCTGTTATCAGATACAGTCACCCTTCCATTGTTCCCAGGATCTCCCCACCCCACCCCTAGGATACCCAAATCCTCAGATGCTTAAGTCTCTCATGTAAGATGATGTCAAATCTTCATATAACCCATGCACATCCTCCCATCTACTTTAAATCACCTCTACGTTACTTACAATACATAAAGCAATATAAATGCTATGTAGAGTTGTCATACTTATGAAGACACATATTGGTGTGCATATACTATGTATACAACCAGAGATATGAAAAATTGTGCTCTATAAATGTAATAAGAATTGTAATGCATTCTGCTGTCATACATAAATTAAAAAATACATAAAAAAGAGTTGTCATACTATATTGTTTAGGGAACAATGAACAAGAAAAAAAACTATGCTTTTAGCAATTTTGAAATATGTGAATATATTGACCATTATTTCTCTTTTTCAAGGGACTGAAGTAACCAATGGAAAATCTCAAAATTACCTTATATCAATGAAATAGCAATTAATAAAAAGGTCTAAAATTATAATAATATTTAATTAGCACTTAACTATGTTCCAGGTACCACTCTAAGAGCTGAATGACAATAAAGCCTCATGACAGCCTACAAACTAGAGGTTGTCTATATCCCCATTATACAAATGGAGAAACTGAAACATGGAGACATTAAATAACTTGTCCAAGATCTTAAAGATAATAAGCACTGAACTAGAGTTCAACTTGGCCGTCTGATTCTGGAGTCCACATTCTTATTCTTGCTCCTCAGCAGTGTCTACAAACTGCAACAGGCACTTCCTAGCATAAATGCTGACTCTCAGGTTCCTATAATACCTACTGACTTAGAATCTGCATTTTGATAAGCTTCCTGACTCATATTCACACTAAACTTTGCGAAGCACTGAGCTACACCAGATAGCCTCCTATCAGGATATCCTCTACAATTTTTGAATGGTTCTCATATGCGTGCACTGTGCTAAACATTACGCCTTTATAATTACATTTGATTTTAAAAACCCTATGAGGAACCACACATGGTGGCACATACCTGTCATGCTATTTAGGAGACGGAGGCAAGAGAATTCCTTGAATCTAGAAGTTCAAGGCCAATCCGGGCAACATGGCAAGATCCCATCTTAAACAACAGCAAAAAAAAATCCTACAAGACCAATGGACTGATCCATGTCCTGGATATGATCATGTCCTATAGTTTTTCAAGATGTTACCACAGGAGAAAAAGGAAACAAGATCTGTCTGTTTTACTTCTTTAAATGATCTCAAAAATTTTAAAAATAATTTTAAAGAATCTTATGATTTAGGTTATATTTTTCCTACTTTTGTTGTAGGAAGTCAGAATTTTAAGGCTCTAAGTTAAGCAGCCCAACACAATAAGGTATTGAGGTTCTTCTATGTGCAAGGTGCTGTTTTAGCGCTGGGCATATGGCTGAGAGCAAACATTGCTGTTGCTAAGCTATATTTCTAGTCTGAGTGGTCAGAATTCATCCCCAAGGTCTGACTGCTGCTACATCCTCTCCTGCTCAGATTTCATGGATACAGTCAGAGGATTGGAAAGGGGTATATAACAGAACTACCCAAGGTTAAACATTTGCAGAATTTCTAGACAGATGTTTATAAAAGCCTCTACCAGTGCCAGGCACACAGTAAGCACTCAGTAAAAATGAATGCCTTTCCTCGAGTCTAGAAGGAACCTCACCTGCACCATGACCCAATTCTGATTTTATCCTTTACTCAACTGGATGGAGTCCAGGGATGGGGCCATATTGAGTGGTGGTAACCTGAGCCCAGAGCTCCTTTCAAAATTAGCTGAAGAGCTATGCCTGTGGACACTGTTCCCAGGTTTGGAGACATACCATTTTGAGACCTGTCTGGGACAGCTCTTGGCACAGAATAGTTCTGAATGAGCCCCCTTATCAGAACCAGATTTATGGCCAGATGACTGCTCAGACCTGAGACTTCTGATGGGTATCTAACACTGATCCAGAGATTGGATTTGTCCTCACATGAGAGACTTTCCTTCAGAAACTAAAAGAACAATTTGGTTTGGCAATATATTCTTGCTGTCTTTGCTAGAGAGAAACTTCACTGGGCCGCCGCAAGAGATAACAAGAGCTATTTTCTCCAGAAAAGAATGTTGCAGATACTGGATTCAAGGCCAGTTCAAGTTTGACCACTGTTGTTAGCTAGCTGCTTCTCAGACAGAATGGTTTCTATTGGGGAACTTACCCAAAATGAGCATGTTTGGTTTGTTTTCCTGAGTATGAAAAGTACAATACTACCACAGAGAGAAACACTTCAAACTAGAATTGCCAGGTCTCTCTGCGTTTCAATTTTCTCTTTTACATTCTGTTCTTATAATAAGCACAGTGCTACTTACAGGCTATGAGAATCAAGGAAGGAAGAGAGGGAAGGAGAAAGGAAGAGAGAGGAAGAAAGAGGGGAAGGACAAATTCCTACAATCACAGCTCATAGCCTAATGGGAGATGTAGGGGAGAAGGTAGGGAGAGAGATCATTATCTGGAAAACATAAGTTATATGGGTTAACTTCAGGGGAGAGCACTAGTCTAGTATGTATGAGGTCCTGGGTTTCACCCCCAGCACTGCAAAAGAGCAACAACAATAATAATAATCTTTTAAAAAAATTTTGTTGTTGTTGTTGTAGTTAAACACAATATCTCCATTTTATTTATCTATCTATATGTGGTGCTAAGGATCGAACCCAGTGCCCTCCGATTTTTCCCTGACTGGTCTCAAATTTCTAGGCTCAAATGATTTTCCTGACTCAGTAGCTGAAACTAAAGGCATGCATCACCATACCTGGTTAATAATAACCTTTAAGGGGATAAGATTGTCACTCAGTGGTAAGAATGCTTTCCTAGTGTGCACAAGGTTCGGGGTTTGACTCCCAGCACTGCAAAAAAACAAAAACAAAAACAAAAAACAAAAAAAAACCCACCTCATTTAAAATAGTGGTAAGATCCTGGTGAACTGGCGCATCACTATAATCCCAGCAGCTCGGGAGGCTGAGGCAGGAAAACTTCGAGTTCAAAACCAGCCCCAGGGGGCTGGGGATGTGGCTCAATTGGTAGCATGCTCACCTAGCATGCGTGAGGCACAGGGTTCGGTTCTCAGCACCACATAAATGTGAAATAAAGATACTGGGTCTACCTAAAAACCAAAGAAATAAATATTAAAAAAAAAAAAAACAGCCCCAGGAATTTAGCAAGACCCTAACCAACTTGTTGAGATCCTGTCTCAAAATAGAATATAAAAAGGGCTGGGGATGTGGCTCCATGTTTTAATGCCCTTGGGTTCAATCCCTGATACCCCCCCCCACACACACACACACAAACCCTCTCTGATCAGATGCAGTGGTATACACTATAATCCCAGTGACTCAGAACACTGAAGCAGGAAAATCACAAATTCAAGGCCAGCCTCAGCAACTTAGCAAGACCCTATCCCAAAAACTAAAAAGGGCTGGGGTGGGGGTGACTCAGTGGTAGAGTACTCATGGGTTTAATTCTTAGTACTACAAAAAAGAAAGAAA